GACAACATATGAATCGCTGCGAAAGCCATTCCCAACAGTACGACAAGAGATATATCACTAACACTACGGATGCTATAGTCATGAATTCATAAGCCATTTGAATATCACTTTCATAAGCGATTGTTTCGGTTTTTGTTTTGATGACATTTCCGCCCGATGTTTGCCCAATGAAGTCAAACATTGTCTCACAAACACCACTAAAACAATTGATTTGAACCGATTCTATGCGAGTCTTGTGTTTCAACTGATTTCCCGGCCATTAGAATACAATAACTTTCTTAACAATTATTATTAATAATTAATGAAAACAAAACCTTATTTTTATTGTAATAATATATGGCTTTACACTAAATTAGCGTAATCTAAAGGAGAGTGCTTAGAAAAGTTACCATAATTTTCTTTATTTGGTTATTTTTTGTTTAGATACAAATCTTATTCACTCACAAAAAAGTATTACATAAGTATTACTTCTCGTGGAGAAGATATAAATGACAAATAAAATAATTCCAGTAATACTTATCATTAATTTCTTGACGTAAATCCACGTAAATATAATTTAATTTATTTTTATATTATTGCAAAGTATGTAATATTTTAATAATTAATTGATATTTGGATTCAAAAATATGTTATAAAATTAATAAAAATATAAATACTGTATTACGAATAAAATTACATTAATACACTTAAATATAAGTTTGAAATAAAGTTTGCAATTTTGTCCCAATTATCTAACTTTGTACTATACCATTTTATGCACTTATCTTGGTCCTATTCTGGTCCTTACGAGTGCACTTATTGGGTAACAATTAATGTGATATTCAATATATCGATGCAATAGTTATATAAAATGCCAATATTATCAAATAAACTATATAAAAATTAATATTCAATATAAGTTTACGAGCAAATAAATCCTATTTTTAATCAACAAATGTTTATATCCTATTTAAAGCATTCTTGTGTTCATTGATAAAATAGATAAATATGTTATATATTCATTATTATATCCATTACGCGCCCTCCCTTCCCTTATAAATTATATGTTATAATTAGAGAAACCGCGTTCCAGCTACTTTCCAGCAACTTTCTATATATTATAGTGTAATAAGATGTTTATTAATATGTCTATTTGCTTATGAGTGTTGTATTTGTGATGAAAGTACACAATTGACTCATACTGCAATATATACGAAAAACATGACTGGTTTCCTTAGTTATAATATTACCCCTTTGAATTTATAACAATTAATATATCTACACAATTGCGATAATAACAAGTGTATAGTGGAAAATTCATGACAACTTGACAACCATATATTCAATCATGAGGGACACTTAAACTGAATATATGGTACAGTGCATGTAATTGTACCTATTAATTGTATTAATGCAGCTGTGAGAGGCAAACATTAGTCATTTATCTTGGTCCATTTATTCACTTATAGATATGGTTTAAGAGGTAAACAATATAACTCTTAACTCTAGAATTATTATTAGATAAGTGATTAGCGATTGAAGAATAATTTAAAAACACATCACTTAATACTCAGTTGTGTTAGTCTTAATGAAAGCCTTTGCGGTTTAAGATCTCAATAATTGAATATTGAAATGAAATTATTATTGTTATTATTCACTTTGATTGGCACCAGTTATGGTATATAATATTTTTTAACAATATGTTATGTTATTTTACAATGTTACATTAATTTTATAATTTATAATTGAATGTTTATCAGTTAAAATTTAAGAAATATAAGTTAAATTTATATAAAATTAAAAACATTGTTCAATAAATCAAAGTTATAAATATTTTAATTAGTTGTACAGAATAATTTAAATAAAACCTTTGGTGTAATGCATTGCAATGCAATTGCTTTGAATTACTGAACAGTGTTTTGATTTATTAAATCTAAAATATATTCATGTAAAACATTGCATATTATAGCCGGGAGTCCGTGTGAGGGACGGGACTACCAAAGAGGTAGTATAGCGTGTGTGGCCACTGAACAGCACAATGACGAGTACGACACCGTCCAGAAGAGTCCCAAAGGTGTGGTACAGGTCTTTACAACCACTAAATCAGGCAAACGTCTGGCGAAGACCGAGAAGAAGTGGAACGAAGGAGATATTCCTTCGGGCTATAAGTGGAATATCAAAGTCGACCACTCGAAGAGTTATCAGTCCATCATTGGCTTCGGTACCGCACTGTCCGACGCGGCCGTCCTATCCATCGGCA